CAGATAGGGAACCAAGAAACATCTTCAGGATGCGTTCCATCCAGCGACAAAAGGCCGAATATGAGCACATGGAGGAGCAACGTCTTAAGCTGATCAACCAGGTCATCCAGTTGAGCCAGGAGGCAAACGAGAAGGCGAAAGCGGTTAGGCAACAGGAGTTGCAGGCGTGGGAGCAGCTGCAGGCAGAAAAGGTAGCACGTAGTGAACCGACTAGTAGATTGGCTGAACCGCCAGAGTCTTCGCTGTTCAGGCTGGGACCACTTGAATCGGACCCTATACGCCTACCGCCCTACAGGGGTCCTAAAGATCTCAAAGCCTGGTTATTCCCACCCCGGAGAGAGATCCCTAGCTTCTTTTTTTTCCGTGACGCCGAGGTTAAGGACAAGCCGGAGGATAAAAATGAAGGTTAGGATGTTGGAGAAGTCAGGCTGTCGGAACAAAAGGAGAGAACAGCTCTCATTTCCGTCATGGTTCTGCCTCTCCTATCCCTCTGTGCTATCCCATGTTTTCTTAAGTGTTTGAACGTTTTTGTTCCTGAAATTTGCATTTTTTGCTACTTATTCCAATCGTAAACCTTTTTTCTGGTTTGTTTACTCCGATCTCACCCTTTTGTATGTATAGTTCTTTGCGTTGCAGTTTAATACAGCAAAGGTTTGACGCCTCCAAAGACAGTCTTTTTACACTCTCCAGTATTTTAATGACTGCGTAAGCACCTACTTGCAGACATGTTAAGACCCTTTATGTAGCCCAAAACTATGCAAGCATAACCCCGAAGACGAGTTTAATGAACACTTAAATATATGCCGGCTGGTCAATTTTGCCGCGTATGGAAACCGATGACCACGAGAGAAGTTGGCCGTGAAACCACGGTACGCAAAGATCGCTGCAAAAGCGATAAATTTACGATGGCTGGGACAGTACGATTTTGAGCCTGAGCTTTCAGTATACGGGATCCAACTTTATTGCCATCGCCACTCCAATATTGTCTAGATTTACCTCTGTTGTTTCCCTCGGTCGGTTCTATTAGGCGTGTTGTCTGACCAAAGGCTAGCAATCTTGCAGGCTCTCATTAGGCGTCGTGCCTTCCGCCGACTGCCACAGAGGAGTCCATTTAAAGTAATATGCCTTCATGGTGGTTATGCCCACACGCAAAGACCTTAAATCGGACAGGCACGCACGCGCGTCCAAGCGAGTGCCCAAGCAGTCGCAGTTCCTGAAGGGTCACTTAGGTTCGTCACGGCAATTGAATTTGTCCCAATGCGCCTAATGAGGCCACAAGCGAACGCGCTTGACAATTACTAATGAGCCACTGTCACCTCTCAGACAGTGAGTTGAAACGCGGACTGCGAGGACATGGTCATTTCGCTCTCAATTGCCGGGCATAGCCCCAAGGCGGGGACACTCAGCGCACTGGAGATCAGCCAGCGGCAACAGCCACCCGAGAAAGCAACTCCGGGTTTTGTACACAACAAACCCTCCTCCCGATGGATTCCAAAGTTGCGCTCTCCTTATTGTCTTCTTCCTTGGGGATTCCAAAGGGCGTAATTAGATGGTGACAACACAGAAGCCACCGACCGTTACGACAGATTCAAATACTTGCCGAGCTTTTCTAAACCAAAAAGTCCTCGTTTGAGTAACATCCGTGATACTGCATTAAGAGACAGTATAAGTCTTTTAATGAATTTATAATTTAAAGGACAGGTGTGGAGTTAAGCTACCATAATTAATTGTAACCCTTAATTCGCTTTTCGTGGACACAGAGAGAGATTGGAAAAACCATTCTTGTCAAAATAGTACATTTCTGCTAAAATGCTGAATGCGAGCTCAACAAAGATTACCGATAACGAGAGTGTCGTCAGGAAGTACCTCGAGGATAATTTTCTCTATTTTAGCACTCTTTATTTACGATCCTCCAGTAGAACGGTAGGCAGTTTGTGACAATCGCAAACAAGATAGCTGGGATGGCATGCATTCAGTGGTTGAGACCGCTTCAACCTGAACCAATTCATTTTTTTAACCGCTTAACTGTGTTTCATTTAGCAAACGGTCTGATATTAGGCATGCTTTCAATTAGAGCGAAACTAAACTGTAATATTCGACTTTTGTATTGTCTGTGCCTTATCGAAAATGTAAGGGTTGACCAGTAACAAACGAACGGCTGGAAGCTCGGAGCTAGTGCTAAATAGGAACGGCTTAATATATGGTTCTGTCAACACTTCGTGGCAAAACTATGGTTCACGTAATGCGATAACTAGCGGGATTTGTTCAATTGGTTCTATCAACAAGTGTTTAGGCTAAGAAGGTTAACCCTTACAGTTACGACCTTCCATGCTCATGCTTCCTTTAGATGAGGAGAGAAGACGCTGGGAAAGCCAGATTGTTAGGAATAGTGTATTCTGC